GTACAGGTGAGTCCTGGGGGTCGCGGCGGACTTTGAAACGCCTAGACCCGGTCTCCCAGGGCGGCAAGTCTCGCGTCCCCGGGGAAGGTTGGGACCCTTAGGGCTTTGCTTTTGCGTTGAGGTCTCCGCGTTAGTTTCTGGTTAAACTCTTTCTGCGTCCGCCCTGCTTGTGGACTTTCCTTCTTGAGGCCACGGCACACCGCCCGCCAGCGCTTAGTTCTCCTGCCTAAAACCTTCCACGGGAGAGCCTTCCCACCCCAGGCCAATTCCTAGATTCCCCCTTGGCCTGGGATTCTACAGCCATCCTCCCCCACCATCCCTTTATGTCCTTTTCAGAGACTTCCCCCCAACTCTCCATTTAGTCACTAAAAGGCCAGATGCCAAGGAAGGGCACACGTTTCCGTGAGATGTGATTTAGGCTAGAAAAACACTGAGGTCCCAATGGTACCCTTCAGGGTCTGGGCCACGGGTAGTGTGTGGGTTCTTGGCTTGGTGTAGGAAAAATTTCACAGCAGGAGCCCAGGTGGCTTCGAGAGTATGTTTATTAGAGCTGGGGACAGTGAAATGAAAGAAGGGCTTAGGATAAAAGAGGCAACAGGAGAGAACCTATCCCTGGCTGCTTTGGCTGAGAAAATGAAATTGGTGATAGAAGTGAGCTCAGGCAAAAAAGTCGGCCCTGGACGCCGCAGGTTCAGGGGGCAAACCTCAGACAGGCTGCTGCTGTCCATGCTTCCCTGCCTTCAAGTCTCACCTGGGTGGCCCCTTGGCTTTTAGGAGATGTTGCCTGTGGAGGAAGAAGTCAGGGAAGGGAAAGGTGTAGGTGTGGGTGGGGCGTTCTCCAGCATTACCTGGATCCTTTGCCTTGAGGCCCTTTTTAAAATCTGTCCTTGGCAGGCGGGAATCCTAGAGGAGGTCTCAGGGGAGGGTCTTTACAGAACAGTCAGTAGCTTTTCAGATGTGTCCTTTTTTTCATACATTGATTCATCAAAATGTGGGTAAAGGGGCCAGGGTTACTTTCTGGTTAGTTTTGTTTTCAAGAATGTCATTGAAGGTGGACTGGGACCCAGGAGCGAGGGCCCTGGGGCAGCCTGGAATGTCATTTGCTCCTAAGAGTCCTGGGTTAGGGAAGATAGAGCCTGTGACGTATTGGCTGGCTGTGAGTTCCTCAAAGTATTGATCTTGTCTGATGATTTTGTCTCAGTTTCCCTTTTTCCACTTGTCAATGACTTTCCCTACTAGGAAGCAGTGCCCTCCTTCAAAGGGGAGGCTGGGAAGAGGCCTAATTCAGGGAGAGGAGGATTATGAGAAAGAGATCAAGTAGTGAGAGGGCCAGTCAGTGGGGGGAGTAATGAGAGGGCCAAACGGTCAGTGAGGGGTCCATATAGAGATGGCTAAGATAGGACCGGGATTTGAGGTGGCACTCAACCCCATGGCTAAGAATTTGGGATCGCCTTGTAAAGCAACGGTAAGTGTGATAGAGGAACTCGGGGAAAGTATAATAGCAGATAGAGAACCATGGGGGAATGGGAGCAGTACAAACACTTGGAGGGGAGCAAAAAGGAGAGGAGACCTTGGTTAGCAGAAGTGGGGGCCACAAAGCTCAAGTCGCTTCAGATTGTTAAAGGGAAATCCCCCAGGGTGGGCTGGGCTGCCAATGAGGAAGTCAGGGTTGAATCATATTAGGTGTTTATTGAGAAGGTCAGTCAATCAAGAAGACAGGGCGCTTACAAGCAGCAAATCCTGTCTTCCAGCAAGGTGCAGGGGACGGGAATATAAAGAGGAAGGGGCGAGGATGAGGCTGGGAAGGAATGCAGCCACGGAATGGAGGTCCTCAACTGTTGTTATCAGAGGATGAGATGACGCTTTGACTCCTGGTGGGTCAGTCTGACCCTGCTTATTGGTTCTGCTTGCTGGATTCACAGCCGAGTCGCCTTCCTAATCACTTGCAAAGGCCTTGAAAAGGAAGTTTAAGAAAAACTTAACCCCCTATTCACATAAGTATATGTATTCTAAGATTTAAAATAATAGGATTACTTTTCAGATTAGTTCAGGTGCTCCCTCAGATTATAAATCTGCCTATCAAGATGGAGTCAGGAGAAACGAGTTGGGTGAGACCAGTGCAGGAATGGAAAGGGAGAAAGGGATGACAGCAGAGGCAGAAACAGCACTGAGACCTTAGCCAGGTGGGGGTATTGGAGTTTTTTGTGTTTTTAATAAAAAATGTATTTTTATTGATTTCAGAGAGGAAGGGATAGGGAGAGACAGAAACATCAATGAGAGAGAATCATTGATTGGCTGCCTCCTGCACGCCCCCTACTGGGGATTGAGCCCACAACCTGGGCATGTGTCCTTGACTGGAATCGAACCAGGATACTTCAGTCCACAGGCTGACTGCTCTGTTCATTGAGCCAAACCAGCCAGGACTTGAAGTTTTAATCAGTACCTTGGAATAGTTCCCTTTTTAAAGATAGGATCCTTAAAGAGATAATCAGGTTAAAATAAGAGCATCAATAGTGGGCCCTCCATTATGTCCTCATGAAAAGCAGAAATCTGGCCCTGGCTGGCATGGCTCAGTTGCTTGAGCGTTGTTTCAGTGTCGGCCTGTGCACTGAAAGGTCATCAGTTTGATTCCTGGTCAGGGGACACATCCAAGTTTCATATTTGTTGGCTAGAGGCTATGGATGGATATTTTCTCACACTTTGATACTTCTGTCTCTCCCTCTCATTCTCTCTCTCTCTCATTAAAAAAAAAAAAAAAAAGAAAAAGAAAGAAAGAAAAGAAAAATTCTGGACATAGAGGTATGCACCCAGAACACTGGTGATATAAACTGGTTCAATGTTAATGAGAAATAATGACTTGGGCCTATTTACCTGCTTACCCGCAGTTAAAAGCATAAACTTCCCCATGAAGATTCAGGGCTGCTCCGAGGGTTTATTATAGTGAATCTGTTGTATTTTAGTCATTTATTTTCTATTTCTTTCTTAACAATTGTGTTTGTTAGATTGCATCAGATTTGGGGGCTTTTTCTCTTCTTAATGTAATCCTATTACCTTCCTTTTCGTTTATTCATATGACTATTAAGCTTATAGATTTTTGAACTTATGTGTCATAATTAAGTACTTTTAATGTATTAACTGTGTATAAATCCAGGTTTAGAATTCCCACAAGATAGTCAAACCCAAAGGAACAAACAGAGGAAAGATTAGTGTTGCCAGAGGCTAGGGAGATTGGAAATGGGAGTTGCTATTTAGTGATACAGATTTTTATTTTTTGAAGATGAATAAGTTCGAGAGATGGTTGGTGCAACACTGTGCCTGTCGTTAACACGATTATATTGTACACTTCAAATTTTATAGAAAGGGTAGAGCCCACGTGAAGTGTTCTTGCCATATTACAATGGTAACAAGAATAACAATTAATATGTATTTGGGGGTCAGTTGGAGAAAGTGAAAATGAGTGGGTTGTGAATACTCTCATATCTTGATAGGCTTCTAGCTTATTCTCCTTTGGTTCATTTTCAAACAAAGCTGTAATGTTAAACAAAGCCTTTCTTCTCCTTGTCCTTCGGAGACTGAGGCTCCACTCATCTGTGGGCAGTGGGTCAGGCAGAAGATTTTCCTGTTGTTCCACTTGGTCCATGGTAGGGGATAAGGCAAATTCCTGGGGACTCAGGATAGTTTGGGAAGGATTCTGAAGCAGGCCCCTCACACAACCCTGTTGCCACCAGGTGATTTCCCCCTCCCTGTTGCACTTGCAAAATGCCCCAGAACCTGGTCATGTGATGTGGAAGCCCCTTTTCACTTCCTGAGTGGTCCAGTGTTCCTGTTCAGGGTTCAGGTTCTGGAGAAGGCCGCACACAAAATGAAGAAAGACTAGAAAATGATTAATTTGGGAAATGTGGGGCCGGGTGGGAGCCCACCTCTAGGGGGAGGATTACCACTGCTCTGGCTTTACTATCCCTTTTATTAAGGTTATGAGATTTACCCATATCCTTTAGGCAGGAAATTCCAATAATAGAAAATCAGGAAGAATTTACAGATGACTAACAGGTGGAGGCTGCTTTAACAACCAATGTCTCAACTAAACAATGAGTGATTAGCTCTGACCATTCAGAGTAATTAAGGTTGACCAGCCTTCCAGATTCCCTTTGCACATTTCTCTATTAGTGACAATGATCAGTTCCAGCAATGCCCATTCCAGTACAACTCCAGCTCTGGGAATCCACCCTGGGGCCCTGCCCTTCTAGAAGTTCCTAGTCCAACTTCTTACACAGGTCTCAGGTGTGTTGTATCTAGTATCTCCCTAGCCCAGTGCTACTGAAAACAGATCTTGAGGAGCAATGTTCTCTACAGCAGGAACTACAGATGCCATTTCATGGTCCTCACTGCCAATTACAGCATCTTAGCTTTTTAGAATGGGTCTTGATCCCCAAGGATTCTGCCTGTACATTAAAGCTGTGGAAGAAATGCTTAGCTCAGTGATCTCCTTCCATTAGATCATTTGATGATAAGAAATAACATTACTGTGCCCTCTCCCACACGGTTGGACAACTGGTCTGGGTGGAACATCATTGTTTTAGTGTGGTGCTCCAGGTGATTGAAAAGTGAGGCCAGTGTTTAGCAGAAGGACTCTTTGCCCCAAGGCATTTGTGAGAGTCCTGAGCCAGGTTCGGTCCAAGGGAGATAGCAGGGTGCTCTGTTGGATATGGCAGGAGGATAGCCCATGTTCTCATTGCTGGGTTGAAATTTGTGCATGGCTGTGGCAGGGGACATCCTGGCTAGACAGGAGAGAAAAAACTCACAGTTCAAGCTTCATGTAGGATCCCCTTGTTTCTGAATCTCTCCTGTGAAAGGACAACTGAGTGTGACATTTTTCAGCATTTTAAGGTCCTTCTGTCAATGAATGTGGAAACAAGACATATTCTCGAGAGACAGGTGTGATTCCTCAACATATGTTCCCCTGAGGAAACAGCCCAGAGCAGGAGGAGGAAGAGGATAACATGGCTGCTCCTCAGGTAAATGCCCTTGTCTTGGGTCAGTTCTGTGTTTGCATTTCTTTCTGAAGTTGGTGGATTTAGAAGCTGCATATCTTTATTCTTTTTCTGATGATCTTGCAAAAGTAAGTTAGTTTTCAACTACTTACTTTCCCCCCATTATTATTATTGTCCAAGTTCCTTCTTTGAAATGTTATTGGCATTTGATGTTTTTGGGTTTCTGAATACAGAAATTAAGAGTAACAAGCAGAGAAGTTTTCGGGAAAATTTTATTAGTCTTATGTTTGAGGTTAAGGGAGAAAACACAGAAGAAAGGAATGTTCTCTGAGCCGATTCAGGGACTTGCGCTGCTTGGCTGTGTGTGAAAGAGTGTGTGTGTGTGTGTGTGTGTGTGTGTATGCTAGAGGACAGGTGCATGAAATTTGTGCATAGGTAGGGTCCCTAGGCCTGGCCAGCAATCTCTGGGGCAACTGGCAGGGCGATCAGGGGTCCCATCTTGGCTGGCCTGGCACCGCCCATTCATTGGCTCCACACCTTCCTCCCGCCACTTTCAGTCATGCCCTGTGGGCTGGGGCAGCTCTTGCATTGAGAGATAGAGAGCTAGAAACATCAATGAGAGGGAAACATTGATCAGTTGCCTCCTGCACATCCCTTACTGGGGATGTAGCTGCAACCAAGGTACATGCCCTTGACCAGAATTGGACCTTTCAGCCTGCAGGCTGACACTCTATCCACTGAGCTAAACCAGTTTCAGCTGAAAACATTTTCTTTGTGACAGACCAACATGGGAAGGCATTTCTATCCAAGATTTCTATGGAGATAGGTTGTGTAGAAGGGAAATGTAGGTTTTAGGTTTATGTGACTGCAATATGTGATCTTTAGGACAGGATTGAGAAAATGCATATTTAATCAGGATTGCCTTAGTAGCCCCAGAAAGTTCTGAAAAGAAAAAGTTGTTAGAAGAAACTTGCTCACTACATTAGTAAGAAAGCCTTCCTTTTTTTTCTTTTTTCTTTTTTAAGAATTCATTTTCCCCCCTTTATTGTTGAAAGTATTACGGATATCTCCTTTGTTTGTTTGTTTTACCCACTGATCCCCTCCACCCTGAACCCACCCCTCCCAGGCCTTCATCACTATTTTCTGTGTCCATATATGCTTATAAGTTCCCTAGTTAATCACCCCCTCTCCCCCCTTGCACAAATTTTATGCATCAGGCCCCTAGTGTGTGTGTGTGTGTGTGTGTGTGTGTGTATATAAAATGGTTAGTATAATATCTAGTACATAGTAATCATTAAAGAAGGATTGTGATATGAAACCTATGAGTTCAATAAAACACTTCACTCAAAGTCCTGTGTTTTCTTTCTCTGTGCTGTCTAAAAGTGTGGCACACGCAGCAGATTCATTGGTGTCCATAGTTTTAAGTGAGCTGGAAACTCAAGACCCACCCCAGAACTCCTGAATCAGGGTCTGAATTTTGTGGACCTCCAGCTCCTTGTTTTACACATTGATACCTTAGAAGTACTATGGTGTTCTCACTCAGAATGACCTCTCCACCTAAGAACTATATACACTTGATCCTGTATGATTCAAATATAGCACTCAAAAATAGATATGCCTGTGTTGATGCCTTTATTTTTAAAATTCCTCTTCCGGAAAAGGAAAGCCTCTACAGTGGTTTTGTAAATGATGTGTCCTTCTCCTTTCTCACAATACACTGGAGAAGATAAAAATGATCTTACTGGATTCAGGATACTTAGTAATTGATCATAGTAAAATGATCTTAGTAATTTATCAGGATACTCTCTTGGGTCAAAACCAGTTCTGTTCACTCTGTGTTCTTATTGGGCCACATTGTGATCTCTGTCCATGTTTACTTGAGTAATGTGTTAATTTTAATATATTTTATTGATTTTGTACAGAGAGGAAGGGAGAGAGATAGTGAATTAGAAACATAGATGAGAGAGAGTCATCGATCAGCTGCCTCTTGCACACCCCCTACTGGAGATATGCCTGCAACCAAGGTACATGCCCTTGACCAGTATCGAACCCAGGACCCTTCAGTCCCCAAGCCCTGGTTTCGGCTAATGTGTTAATTTTAGTTTTGCTATGTATCTTTCAATTTCAGGGACAGCTGACCTTCAGTGATGTGGCCATAGAATTCTCTCAGGAGGAGTGGGCGTGCCTGGACCCAGCTCAGCGGAAACTGTACATGGACGTGATGCTGCAGAACTACAGGAACCTGGTATTCCTGGGTGAGGACCACTGCCTTCCAGAATTTCTTCTCCACCCGCAGGGTTTTCTTTTCTTCATTAGTACAGTCAGTGATGAGCTCCTGCTTTGTATGAGAGTTTCAGATCTGTGTTCCCAATGAAAGAAATTGAAGTTTTGCTGATGTGGAACAGAAAGGTTTCCTTGTGTATTTGGAAGTGGAACTCAGGATCTGAAAACTTTAAATGTTTTCTGGTATTATAAAGGTGCTGTCAGAAAATAAAATTTTGGGAAATAATTTTCTAAAATACTCTGATATTCTATAATGTCCTATCTTCTTGAACCCAGGGCTGGATTGGAAATTGGAGAATTTCCTTTAGAATCTCATGTTCCTTTTTTCTAATAAACAGGGCTTGCTGTGTCTAAGCCAGACCTGGTCACCTTTTTGGAGCACATGATGGAGCCCTGGGAGTTGAAGAGAAAAGAGACGATATCCAGCCAGCCAGGTAGGTGGGAATGAAGGTAGCAGACAACCCAGGTGAGAGATCAAAAGTCACAGAGAAAGGCAAGCTTTAAAATATGTTTTGGGAAGATTGGCTTCAATGGGAAATGATTTTGGAGAGGGTCAGGTTTATTTCTGTTTCTATCTTCGAGGGACACACCCTCTACTACACTTAACACTCTGGTATCATGTCTGGGTTCTCCTTGTGCTCCTTTGATCTGCTATCACATTTGCAGTGAGAACTAAAGTCTTCCCCTAATAGTGTGAGGGTGGCATGACCTGGCTACTCTTGTATTTCTTATGGATCCTGGGAAACTGTACACATTGATGAGGAATGTTATGTTAAACCAATTCTCCTTTCTGCCTCATGTAAGTAGTTTGTAAAGAAGTGTTTGAGATACTGTAATTTGGTTCCCACATCTCAGGAGGGCTGGGGATAGGTGGCCAAGTTATCCTATTATTCCTTCTGCTTGACCAAGTCTGTATTTTATATTTAAATTCAGGTACTGAGTGCTTCAACTTCCAATATTTGTTTGGTTCTTTCTTATACTTTTTGCATAGCTCGTTGGTAATTTAGTTTTTTATCATGCATAGTTTTGATGGTAATTTAGTTTTCTGTGTGTGTTCCCCCCCCCCCCCCCTTTTATGTACGAATTGATCCTCTTGGGGATGGTTGTTTTGAATTCTTTCTAAGGTAATTAACAGATCACTGCTAAGTTAGGACCAACTTATGGAGACTTATTTGTGCTTCTGGTTGGACCGTTTTTCTGTTTTTTTCATAAGCCTTATTACTTTGTAAGCCCATTAGAAGCAGGCAACATCCTTTTCTTTGTACAAGAGAGCCCAAATAACAATCAGCTATGGTAGGTTTTTAATGGCCTGTGAAACCTATTCTGGAAAGTGCAATTGGTGTGTGAGTTTCTATCATTTTTTAAATTTTTTATTTATACTTGATATCAATATTATACATATCTTAGGTATACACCCCAGTAATTAAACATTATATAGTTTGGGGGCAGGAGCCACTTAACTAGAGGTACAAGGCACGCTGAGGCCAGATGCTGATTTTTTGAGACATTGTAGTAAAGACTGAAGCATAAGCCTGTTCGGGCTGTTTCTATGGAAAAACCACTTGAAACAGCTTGGGTGGGGTCTAAAATTCATGGGGCAGGTTCTGAGGAAATCTTCAGAGTGGGGTGAAAAGTCTGAGCCAGGTTGATACTCAGCTATGGAGCCTATCTGCCAGCTCTGCGGGTGAAGGGCTCAGAAAGGGAAGAATGACTTCTACTAACACTTATGTCTGGGAAAAAGCTCCGTCTCCAGCCCTCATCTTTAGGCCAGTCATTGTTGTTCTTCGCTGTGTGTCCCTGGTGCCTTTCAAGCTGCTGCCTAGCTCTGGAGCCCAGAGGGCATGAGTCTGAGTAAGTCAGAGCACGAGCCCATTAAAGGAACTGCCTGGGACTCCATCAGCTCTCTGTCTCACTCAGCCACAATCCTAGTTTTTACAGCCATAATAACAGGGACATCTCATCTTGGCATTGGAACCCTGGGCTGGCGGGCCTTCTGTGGGGTGGGGACTCTTCACTCCTCAGGTGTGGTCTCTGCAGCTGAAATATTGCTTCTGATTTTTATTCATATGTGGTCCCCACCCGTTCTGTGACTTTGCACCTGATACCAGTCTGTCTGAGGCTTCTTCTTTATGTCTTTAGTTGTAGAACTTAATTCAGCTTGGTTTCTGGAGATTCTGAATGATGGTTTTCCTGTAGTTTAGTTGTTTTATTTAATGCGGTTGTGGGAAGATGCCAGTGCCGCAATTACCTACACCACCATCTAGACCAGAAGCTTGCATATGTGTGTTTTGTGTAACTTCCCAGTTTAAAATATATTTTGCTTTTATTTAGAGCACACGACATTCCCAATCCTGATATCTTTCTTCAGCACAACAGTCTTTTTGGTGCTTGAATAATTACACTCTTTCTTAGCAGCCACCACAATGCATTCATGGTAAATTGCCATTTCCTTAGCAATCTGTGTCATTTAAAACAGAAGCAAGTTCCACAGGCAGTTGCAAAAAATCCAAGACTATATTGGACATACAGTGCACACTCTTGTTTTTCTTATGAGAAGAAACTGAGGATTGGGAGGTATCTCACAGTCATTTTGTAGTGTGCCAGAAAAGGTGACCAGATATTGGGAGTAAATACAAGCAACTTTTCTTCCCTCTTTGATATTTTTCCCCTCTGGGGTGTGCTGTAGTCTTTGAACTGACCTCTTAGGTACTCTGAAAGGTAATTGGGTCAGTAATTATTATTAAGTTTCCATTTTCATGGAGAAAAAATTTAGGTGATTCCTTTTCTGCCATTTCACTGAAATCATTTGACAGTTATTCTATACATTACATTTGAAGAATATTTATCTGAATGTGGTGTGTTATAATTCATTTGTTATATTTCAGTTATGTCTTCTCAAGTCACCCAGGACTTGTTACCAAAACCAGGCATCGAAAATTCATGTTGGAATATGCGACAGGTAAGATATACAATGTGTGGCATTGAGAATTTACACTTAATCGAAGTTTTGGGATGTCTGGAGCAATATGAAGAGAAAAAAGATGTTATGGTGCATATAACCAAACTGGGACATTTACCCATATAATTTCCTTGCTGCCAAAAGAGGTTAAGGATATAAAGTATTTTGGAAATTTTTGCTTTGAGTTACCTTGGAAGAGCAATGTGATTCTGAATGCAAACACCAAAGGAAACCTTTTAAAAATACATTTTCTCTGAAATGAAATTTGGAACACCAGAGAAGTCACCTAGTCCACGTGTAAATAAGTCTTCAGATGATTTAATGTAGGATTTAAGTTAAATGTTTGTAAAAATCAATCATTTAAAACATGAAGATGTAAATTGTGACTGAATTTATAAATGCCTTAACCAAGTTTGAATTATTCCTTCACAGAAAAAATATTCTTTCTTATTCTAGATGCTATAATTTTCATAAATGTGTTAGGTTTTATTTTCAACCATTATGGCTTTATTGTTATCAGAATAGGTGATCAGACACAACTTTACTTATGCAATGATATTCAAACTTGAACTAAAGGCTTTTCTATCTTCATTGATTACTAGAGTGCATATAATGAATAGAGAAGCCATAAATGTAGTAAATCTAGGAATTTAATAAAAGGGTTAAATTCTAATAACCATCAAAGAACTTAGTTTTCACAGATAAAGTATAAATTTCAGAAAGTCTTTGATAAAAGCTCAAATATTGTTATACCTCAGAATATTCATGCTATACACAAGACAGATAAATGTAGTGAATGTGACACTTCTTTCAAACCATTATTAAATTTTACTGAACATGAAAATACTCATATTGGGGAGGAGCCTTTCAGGTATAATCAGAGTATGAGAATCTTTAGTCAATTATCCAATGTATATATACATAAGAAAATCATTATTGGAGAGAAGCCTTAAAATGTAAAGAATGTGATAATTGCCCTGGCTGGTTTGACTCAGTGGATAGAGCATCGTCCTGCAGACTGAAGGGTTTAATTATAGTCAAGGGCACATGTCCAGGTTGCAGGCTCGATCCCTAGTACAGGAGGCATACAGGAGGCATCTGATCAATTATTTTCTCTCATCACTGATGTTTCTCTCTCTCTGACTTCCTCTCTGAAGTCGATAAAAATATAGTAAAAAAAAATAAAAGTGATAATGTTTCTAAGTTGCATTTATATTTTATTCTACAACAGGAACTGGATACTGGAGAGAAGCCTTATAAATGTAGAGAATGTGATAAAGCCTATAAGTGGTATTCAAGCCTTACCAGTCATCAGAGACTTCATTCTGGAGAAAAGCCTCATAAGTGTAGGGAATGTGGCAAAGCCTTTAGCAAATCTTCAAGCCTTACCAGTCATCGGAGAATTCATTCTGGAGAGAAGCCTTATAAATGTAGAGAATGTGGCAAAACTTTTACCCAGAGCTCAAATCTTGCTCAACATCAGAAAATTCATTCTGGAGAGAAGCCTTATAAATGTAAACAATGTGGCAAAGCCTTTATCTCGAGCTCACATCTGACTCGACACCAGATGATTCATTCTGGAGAGAAGCCTTATAAATGTAGAGAATGTGGCTTTGCCTTTAACCGGTGTTCAACCCTTACTCGACATCAGAGAATTCATTCTGGAGAGAAGCCTTATAAGTGTAGAGAATGTGGTAAAGCCTTTATTCGGAGCTCAAATCTTACTCAGCACCAGAGAATTCACTCTGGAGAGAAGCCTTATAAATGTAAAGAATGTGGCAAAGCCTTTATCTGGGCCTCACAACTTATGCAACATCAGAGAATTCATACTGGAGAGACGCCTTAAAATGTAGAGAATGTGACTAAGCCTTTACCAATTCTTATGGACCATTAGAAAACTCATACTTGGGAGAAGCCTTATAAAGGTGAAGAATGTGGCAAAGCCTTTACCCACTGCTCAAATCTTACCAAACATGAGCATGCATACCTGAGAGAAGCTTTGCAAATGTAAAG